CCTGTCTGCCTTACGGCCAGCCGGACAGACGTCCCACCAACCCTTCACGGGACGTCAGCTCAGAGCACGCCTCGTTACGAGCAAGTGCCGGCCGGACCCAAGTCCTGCGTCCCCGCATACGGGGCAGAGGCCCTTCTCTGCGCCAAATGTCTACACAGTATACACAGGACATCGTTGCTGCCGCCACCATGACTGGTTTTCTGTTCCTGAGAACGTGACATTTGTGACATCCTGCCCGCCAGGAGTCCTTCCCCACACCCCAGCCATCGCCGCCCACTCCCAGGAGGCCAGGGCAGGCCTGCGTGGACTGGAGGCGAGCGAGGCCGACCCATCCCCTTGCTGGCACTGACTTTGCCTTGAACAGACCCCACCCCTCCCCTCCCCCACAAGCCTTTAATCGAGAGCCGCTCTCTGTAAGTGTTCGCTTGTGCAAAAGGGAATCGTGCCGTGGAGGTGTGTGTGTGTCCATGGCAATTCGGAGTGAGGTGACTGTCCCATGCGTGCGTGTGGACAGGCCTTGCCCGGGGAGTGAGGCCACCAACCAAAGTCAGTTCCTTCCCACCTGTGTTTCTGTTTTTTTTCTATATATATATTTTTTGTTGAATTCTATTTTATTTTTAATTCTCTCTTCTCCTCCAGACACAATGGCACTGCTTATCTCTGAAATGGTGTGATCGTCTCCTCATTGAGCAGCGGCTACCACCGCGCTGTGGGTAGTGTGTGACCGTGGCTGTACTGTATAGTGAACATAGTTGGCATATCTTTGTTTGAAGTTTGTTGGTGACTCCACCAAACTGGTGTAAAAAAAAAAAGCCTAAAAAAATCCACAAAAAAAAACCAAAACACATTTAGAAAACTGCCTATATTTTACTCAATTTCAAACTTTATTAGTCTATTTTTTAATTATAAAACCAGAAAGCTGCGATTTCTTTTCTTTCCCCTGCCCTGTCCCCCATTCGTTGGCTTCTTTGTTTTTTAATGTCAAATCTGTTGGAGTTGTTTTTTTTTTTTAAACCAAGAAAGGAAGAGCCAGGGGACAAGGTGGGCACTGGGCACTCTGGGTGGCTACAGACTGAGGCAGAGGCTCCCCCACCCTGTGCCCTGCCCTAACCAGCTGGCTGCTCCTTCCCATGCTTTTTTTTTTTTTTTTTTTAATTTTATAATCGGAGCCCTTGGTGAGGTTACGCGTGCCATGAGAACTCACTCTACACCACGACGCTGGTGCCTCAGTGTTGGCCAAACTCTGGAGTCACTGACTGGTTTGACTTTCATACAGTGAATATGCATTTGGTCTGTACTGATCATGGAATAAACACATCTCTCTTTTTTAATGCTGGCGTCTCCCTGACATTTCTTTGTGAACCAACTGTTGCCTAGGCTAGGCCCAGGGGCCCCCCTTCCTGGACCCTGGACTACCACTATACAAGAACTACCACCAGGGATTACCCAGCCCTTCTCCCGTGGTCTGTTCCTGCCTTTCCTGGGCAGGAGCCACTCAGGCTTATAGCGGTCACCTCAAGCTGAAGCTGTGACACAGAGCCCAGGTACTCATTCTCCTTGGCCTAGGTAGGGGATGTGCTCCAACAGAACCCTGGCCAAACTCCAGACAGTATTCTCCCCCCTCACTTTTCTCCATCCTGGTCCTCCACTCACCAAAGGACTTGAGCCACTCCTCCCAACTTGCCTCTACTTAATTCCTTCTTTCATTTAAGCTCAGGGTTAACCAGATATTCTTAGATAGTGTACATTCTCCCAGATAGGATCCTCATCACCTCACATGCGCTCACACACATACATTCCTGCCCAAGAAAGCCCACACGTGGCCACTCTGTGGGCCCTACCTGTGTGCCCACCTGTATGCACATGTCCCAGCCACAAGGCATGGGTGGCACCCAAGAACAGCCCCTAGGATGTAAGATACAAGTATATAATTTATATATATGCAGAGACAAACTGAAACGTTTCTAGCACTGTTTATTAACCTACATCTTTTCCCAACCTGAAAAGCCCTTTATTGCCTTGTGTTTGGATCTGCCAATCCTTCCAGTGAGGGGATAGTTGAGGCAACCAGTCAGAGGCCCCCACCACTTCCTTGATGCCCCTGCCCACCCAGGCACTTCCTCATATACCACTGTGCTGGTTCAAGTGTGACATATTTTGGTTCTTTGGGGTTTCTTCCCTCTCATTCCACCCCCTCATTTTTGTTCCTTGTTTTGTTCAGAAACTTCTCCAGGCTGGGTCCAACTGTTGAGCTGGAGAGATGGTTTTGTCTGCACCTTCCTGCTGAAGATTTAACTCTGCCATGGCCTTCGCCACACCTCCCTGATGGGTGTTTCTCTAACTGGGTTGTAATTAGAACTGGGATCTATTTAATTTCTCTGGCCATTTCCCAATCCTTCCCACAGTACTAGAAATCTTAGTCCTATACAAGAGTAAGAGGTGTATACAAGCCCCCACTGTACTGTATGCACGGATCGCTTGGCCAATAATTATGTCAGTGAATCTGAGACTTGTATTAAACACTTTAGACATTTGTAGAAGGGAATTCGTAGACTTTTCACTTATATACTAAAGGTTCTTTTTTTTGTGCAGTTCTCATTGCAAAAATAAACATTTGTACTGAATATAAAGTTACCCTCCTGTGACTACTGCTGTCTTTTTGTCTGAGGGTGAGAGGGAGGAGGAAGTTGGGGTCAGTAATGAATGCAGCAGGGAAGAAGGGAGGTTCCCCAGACACTACTAGTTATGCAGCCAGATTAGAGGACTGAGGAGAGATTCTGGGAACATCAAGTCGTCAAAGAATTGATGTAATGGAAAGTGTAAGACACCAAAGCTGATGTAGACTAATCATACAAGAAAACAAAGGTACACGTTTAAGTCCTGGGAGAACAAAAGATTGTACAATGTGGGCAATGTAATCAGACCTCTATTCAACTCTGAGATGCGTTTTCTACTGAGGCAGAACAATATAAACTGCTATTCACCTTTAAGTAGCAACCTCGTGGACTTAATTGTGGTATAATACTTAGCAGCCTCGACAATACAAAGGCATATGGATAAAAGTGGGAGGTGGAAGGAGGGGCCAGAGGTGACAAGGGATGAATGCAGTGTTTTATTTATTTATTTGAGTTGGAGTCTCACTCTGTCGCCCAGACTGGAGTGCAGTGGCCACTCCCGGCCACCGCAGCCTCGACCTGCTGGGCTCCGGCGATCCTTCCGCCTCAGCCTTCCAAGTAGCTGGAACTACAGCGCGCGCTACCACACCCGGCTAATTTATTTATTGTAGAGATGAGGTCTCGCCAAGTTGTCCAGGCGGGTCTCGGACCCGCGGGCTCAGGCAATCCACTCACCTCAGCCTTCCAAAGCGCTGGGATTACATGCTGAGCCACCGAGCCGGGCGGATGCAGTGTTTTAAATGAGAGGAAACCAATAAAGAAACTTGAAAAATGATCGGCATGTCCAGAGGTGATGTACATAAGTCTGTGGATAATGCCCCCAATTTGCTTTTAAAAAAAATAGCTATGAAGAGCTGGCACGGTACACGTACCTGTAATCCCAACTACTCAGGAGAATGAGGTGGAAGTCGCTTAAGCCCAGAAGTTCGAGACAAGCCTGGGCAACATAGTGAGACTCCGTCTGTTAAAAAAAAAAAAAAAAGCTACAGAAGCACATTTGGAGATCAGAAAAAAAAGTGGCCGCCTCCCAGAGGAAGGGGAGGTAGGGCCACAGACTGCCGCCTTTCTCCGCAACCCCTTCTGGATTGTTGCCGTTTAACCAGATGTATAGCTTTAGGCAAATTCCCGAATTTCAGGTTCATGTTGTGTACTAACAGGGATGTGATAATACTTCCTACACTTAATAGGACTGCTCTAAAGGTTAAACGATGGGTGTCCCTAAGATGCTCAAGTGTCTTGTGGGAAGGTTGTAAAATAGGAGGACGAAGCTGAATCCTCGCAGGAATGCGGCTCTGTGACCCGTCCGCCTTCCTTTTTCCGCCAGACCCAGAAGAACTCAATCGGCCGGCTCCGGGGAGATGCGCCTGCCCCCTAGGAGTCAGGGTATCTGCGCTCCATTGGCCGCTCCCACAGGGGCCTCAGCACCGGTGGATTGGCTCCGGAGCGGGTCCTGTCACTTGGACATCAATGGCCACCTCCGTCCAATCAAAGCCGTGCGAGGGCGGGCTTCCAGGCCTGTTGGGCCAACAGGAGGACGGCGTTGGGCGAGGCCGCTGGACCCGCCGTTGGAACCGGGGCTGGGCGAAGGTGCCGCTGGGTCTTCGAGCCAGGCCGAGGAGACAGCGCACCATTCGGGGCCCTCCGGCCGCTGACACCGGCCGCGCCTTCCTCCTCGTCCTAGCCCTTGCATTGCCCATCCCTCTTCTTCCGCTTCCGGGCCCTCCCGGCCCGCCATATTAGGTTCCGGCCCCGCCCCTTGTTCATTGGCCCGGTTCCAGACCCACCTCCAGCTCATTGGCTTCTCTGCCCAATGTTCCACTCACTCCCCGCCCCTATCCCTTACGTTGCGGCTAGGCCAAGTTGAGTCCCGCTTTCTGGCCCCACCCACTTTGCATATGCCCCGCCCCTAATGCCGGGCTCCGCCCATCACGCAGGGTTCCCTCCCCAGGTTGGTCTAGGTTTCTAAATCTCCTAGTCTTTAGACGCCCCCCTCTCGTGCTGTGGGAGTCCTACTGGGCCCCCGGCCCTGTCTCAAGCCCTGCCCAGGCCTTTCTAGGACCTGCCCACTGTTCCCCTTTTGCCCCAAGACTCGTACCCAGCCACCGCAGCCGGGCCCTCGCAGGCTCCGCCCTCGCATCCTAGCCCGGTTCCCTGTCCCCGACGCGCCCAGGTGTTTACCTGGCATGTGAGTGAGTTCGTGCACTGTGACGGTTTCGGTCCGAGCCTCCTGCCTCTGCCTTCGGCGCGTCCCGCAAACCCGGACGGCACGGAGGGGCCACAGCCCAAAGGCGGTGGGCTCCCCAGCCCAGATCCCGCCTCGCCGCTCCTGCAGGCGCCCCAGGCCCAGGGCCCCGTCGGCGGCGCCGCCGGCGTCCCGGAGCGTGGTGACATGCCCGAGTTGGTGGTGACCGCGCTGCTGGCGCCGTCGCGCCTCTCGCTGAAACTGCTGCGCGCCTTCATGTGGTGCCTCGTGTTCTCGGCGGCGCTCATGACCGCGGCAGTCT